GTGTAGGCATTTAAATATAAATAAAAACATATGTGCGCTACCAAGGAAACTCGTGCCCCATCTTGTGCTGCCCGAATCCTCCTTCCACGCACCAAATCATCCTCTACACAGTACCTGGAGTTGATAACGTGCGAGTTTTAGGCGGACTCCGCTCCGACTGTTCTTCTATGCACTGTTGCGCAGTTGGCTGAGTCCATTCTAGTGTCTCTGTGAGTCATGCCATGGCATGGGCGTCCCCATTCTTCATCCGCTACTGTTGCCGCGTCTGTCGCTATTGCTGTTAGCGGTCCCAGACCGCCAGAGGCTGTGAGATCAGGCCTCCTCTGCTTCCCACAATACCCCTGTGCTTTCCCTTGAGGTGGCAGCAGCGTGCGTAGGCAGGGGTTGGACCTGCTGCTGCTGCTGTGTGTAGGAGAGGTCCGACAACGGTAGGGGGAGGGGGGAGCAGAGAGAATGCTCGCCATTCGTTTCGCCCTAGCGCGGGCGCGAGTCACCCCGTGGGTTTGTCATCGCATTCTGCGGTGGCTGGTCAGTGGCTGTCTCGCGTCCGCCATGAGTAAGTCCTACTCGGGCCGGATGAGTACGACTTTCGCTTGACTTCAGTGGAAACGAATGTGACAGGACTCGAAGTTCCCACTTGTTTGCCCCCTGTGATAGGCCTTGGCCCCTTCCTTCTGTCAGTCGGCTTGTAGCATGCGATGACTGCGATGGAACAGAAGCGTGTTTTGTGCTGATAAAATGTTGGGATGACTCTGAGCAGTAGAGCCTGGCGCCTCCCCCGCACTCGTACCTCCTCTAGGAAGTATATCACGTGAAGTTGAACTGCCTCCTCCGCTCCCGTAGACCAGCGTACGGTTGCAGGAAGGTTTCGTTAGTCTTTGTGTTCTTTAATTCAAAATTATCTTAGATCGATCATTTATTCTTGTTCAGTATCCTTTCTCGGCCGTTTGATACGTTCGTATATGTAGTTGTTTGACACTAAAAGTCCTCAAAGGCCCCACAACCTGCTTCCGTTTTGCTGCTACCACATCCGGGGTATTTGGTTTTGTATTTCGCCCACGTGTGCGCTTATTTTGCGATTAATAACTGTCAAGGTCGTAGCCGTGACACTTTTGACTTGGTATTGAGAAGGAAATTGTTGAGGATGAATAGATAATGCTAGTACTTACTTCCTTCATTTGTCTTTCTCGACAAGATGTACGCGCCCTCAGATACCCTTTTGTAGACTGTGTGGAAGGAGGATTGTATAGCCACTGACGCACGCATTATCGACAATTATTCTCAAAGACAAGGAGGGGTGAAACGCTAATCTTGTGGCCTATTTGCTGTCGTAATAATTGAAACGCAAAGTCTGCGGGCTCGAAATTTGAATCTAAACTCTTCGAATCACAGCTCCAAATGTGAGCCATAACCTCATGTTCTCTTGGCTGTGGTGGAGAACATTCAAGTTAACCAGGGTACCGTTCGTCTATTTATCATGATTGAAAAACTACAAGGGTAGTTACTGCCGTCCATTAATATGCGTCATGGTACCGGTACCCTTATGTGCCAAGATGCAAACACGCGCGTGCAAAATCGGGTCATACCTCCTCAGCCCTTGAAACGAAGTCCGGTTTATTTACGCCGGTTGTTGAGGTAAGGCAAATTCTCCGTGATTTATAAACTTAAATCATTTAAATGAGTGCGCGCTCGACCGCCGTATCCGAAAAGGTCCACCAGGTGCTCCACTTGAAGTGGGCACAGGAACGGTGCCTTGGGCGCGAATTAAATTACAGTGAGGGCAGACGTGCGTTGCATCTTCCCCGTCCCCACCTGTCATGACAGAGTTAAGAAGACCGGAGGCGGGAGAATAAATACGGGGGGACGGGGGACGCTGGCCCGATAGGCTACAAGCGGACATTCACAATTTATTACTACTAGCATCTACTACCTGCTTTCTGTAAGAGTTCGCAACTTGGAAGCTGCGAGTCAGTGGTTCAACTACTGGAGCGTTTAATTCAGTAACTTACTAAACTTACGTTATGGCCCATTTTCCAACTGGCCGTATATTTACGTGCATATTCATAATGCGATGGTCAGTCACAAGCTACAGACACTACTACTCTGTTAGGCACAATAGTAACTTGCATGCAAATGTTTTACAATGAAAGAAGCTTTCGTAGCACCTACCTCACCACCTGCTCCGACACTTAGCATGTTCAAAGGGCAGGACAGGGTCGAAACGCTTGTAAGTGTATATGTTTGCAATAACTGACGCGTCTACGCGTACCACGCACGTGCTGATCCCTAACTTTACACGCACGCACTAAAAAGAAACCACTGCCCTTACTCTTGATCGGGACCTCGCTACCTCGTCAGTTAGCAACCCTCCCCCTCCCCACCCGAAAACGGTTGCTTTCGATATGTCCTAATGCTGTTCGGCTGTTAACAATGTGTCGGAACGACCTCTCCCTTCACATTTGTTCTGCCATATCATGCCCCGGCGGTAAGTCAAGCCAACTGGGCAGGACATTTTACGCAGTGACGTGAAGCCTCTGCCGAACGCGTGTCCCGTGTTCTACCAACTGTGCTCCCTTTCACGAGGAAGTTTCATAGCTGGTATCCTTTTTTTCTCGTTTCATTGGTGGCAGGCTGCGGCTAATATTTACGGCTCTCTATCTCTCTGTGGTGGCAGTGAGGGTAGGTGGTTGTCGCGGTCTGCACGCGAAGCAGCCGGTCTA